AGACCGGCTAGACCGGTCCAGTCCCATTTTCTTCGGTTCAGTCAGTATTCTATAATTTCAGTCCCGGTTCATGATTTCAGTGTCATTTTCAGTTAAAATTTCGGGTCTAGTTCAGTTCAGTAAATTAATATCAGTTCAGCTCCGTACTTAACCGGTTCAGTTATACCGATTAAGTCCGGATATCACGTTAAGTGGAGTAGAGCATCTTAACATAATTAATTAGTTAATTTATCAGTCTGAGCATAGTCATTAGTAATTGTTTATATTATTTTTCAGTTTGATCATGCATCAGCACTACCTGCATTTTCAGCCGTTGAGGTGGGGACTCAGACTAAGTACTACATTGATTATAATATCTCTACCATGTTTGAGGTGTGTATATTCAGTATCCGCTCGGAATGGTCGCCGGTCCATTCTGGGTTCTAGTGGCCTTAATCTGCGCACTAGAGTGTGCACATGGTGTTCGGCTATGCCGGCAGATGTTCAGTTTCAGACAGGTGACTTATGTCACGAGATCAGTATCAGATTATTCAGACCGGAATCAGATATCAGTTTCAGTTCAGTTCAGTTATATATGCCAGGATCATGATATTGTTATTATTTTCACTGTTTTACTTTAGTATGAGTTTCCACGTAGCACAGTGTTTTAGTGCTCACTTCCCACTTATTTCATGTTTTTCAGGTCGTAGGGTCGGGGACGAGGAGTGAGCTGACGAGCTGTTCAGGACTTTTGTTTTCATATGTATATATTATATTTTGACCACGCTGTTATTCCGCTAAAACTTTCAGTACTTAAACTCAGTTTTTGATCCGACTTTAGTCGGTTAACACTTTATATAACTGTTTTTATTATAAGTTTAAAGTTAACGGTTTTTCAGTCAGATTTTCATGGTAGCATCCCGAATCAGTTTTCACAAAATAAATATTTTATTAGATTACTCAGAAAATTTGCGAAAAATGCGTACTCTGATTTTAATAAGTTAGCAGGGTGTTACAATTGGTATCATAGCACGTTTCTGCGTCTCTGAAAAGTTTTTCAGTCAGTAATTTTCAAAAAAACCTGAACCGTCACGCTCACGCCTCGCCGACTACAGGTAAGTGCTGATTTAGTTTTCAGTTATAAACATATTACTTTGTCTATGCTCAGAAATTATTAATCATGACTTAGTTAAGATGCTCGAATCAGGATCAGACCTTAAAATTCAGTGTACTCAGATATAACTCTAGACGTCTTCAGGATCTATATCAGTATTTTCCGGCCATTTTTGGCAACTCGTCAAGAGATCTGTGTACTTTAGAAATCAGTCAGGATATCTTCATGTGTTCAATAATTTGAACTTTTTCAAATGATCAGATGCCGCCCCGTAGGGAACCCGATCACCCAGTTCTTCCTCTGGCCACGGTAGTCGCACAGTTTCGCGACTATCACCCTGAGAAATTTTCCGGGCAGGGAGACCCCCGTATCGTGGACGAGTGGATTCAGGTCCTTGAGTTTATTTTCGAGGTCATGGATTGTCCAGACAGATATCGCGTAATCTGCGCTCAGCTTCAGCTAACCGGTGATGCCCGGCTCTGGTGGAATGCCTACTGGAGCATGCGACCCGGCGAGAAGGCGGGATGTACATGCGATACGCTCAAGGAGCTGATCCGCGAAAAGTACTACCCCACCTACTACAGAACAGAGATGGAGCGTCAGTTTCTGTCGCTCAAACAGGGTACTCGGTCTGTAGATGAGTACGAAAGAGAATTTACCAGACTTGCAGCTTTTGTTTCGGACCTGGTTCGTACGGAGGCACAGAGGGCACAGCGATTCATTGACGGGCTTTACCCAGCAGTCCGTCACAACATTGTAGGTCACGGGACCCAGACGTATGCACGTGCTGTTTCGATTGCCCAGGAGGTGGACGCCAGCATCAGTAGGGATGCCATCCGTGATCGTCCTCAGCCATTCGCCCCCGCCCAGTCACCCACAGCTCCACCAGCCCTACCAGCTGCCCAGCCGACGAAGGAGAAGAAGAGGAAGGGGAAGGGCGCACAGACCGACAAGAGGACTCG